CCAGCGAGTTCTAGCTCCCTCTCCATAGGCTCTGACAGGTGTCCCCTGGTACAACACTGCTGAGGGCAATCCCACCTTAGAATCTGCTGCTTGGGGGACTCGGACTAACAAAATCATTTGCATCTCTCTGCCAGCGATCTCTTACTCCATCGGGTAACATCCTTCTCTTTTCCCAACTTCACCAGCATCGGCTCCCTTGTGCTGGCCTTTGTATTATCTTTTTGAGGTAACAGATGCTTATGTTTCAAGCCACTAAAGTTCAGGGTAGTGCCTTGCTCTGCAGTGAATAAGTCACAAGGCTCTCTTTAGTTTCTTTTAGTCTGCATCGCTGATTCCTTGCACTTGAAAAATGTCACCTGCACTCACTATTTCCAGTTCCTCTCCTCCTGTTCTCTCTTTTATTCTGTCTTTTCTCCATTCTTCCTTTTCTCTTTCTTTTCTTTATGTGTATTATCAGATGTCTCAACCATCCTCTATAATAAAACCCTAATGTGCAAATTGACCAAACAGCGGAACAACCGGCAGAATAACCAGTCACTATGAGGTGCACTGACCACAGGGGCAGGTGCTCAGCGCAGGAGTTGCCCCCTGGTGGTCAGTGCACTACCACCTTGGTTGCACTGCTCAGCCATAAGCCAGGCTTATGGCTGGTGAGTGCAGTGGTGGTGGTGGGAGCCTCTCCTGCCACCGTGGCAGCACTAAGGGGTGACAAGCCAATCAGTAAGGAGCGAGCAGGCGGGCAGTAATGAATGAGCTGGAGGGCAGTTAGGAGCAAGGGGTCCTGGACTGCAAGAGGGTGCAGGCCGTACTGAGGGACACCCCCTTCCTCCTGTGCATGATTTTGTGCACCAGGCCTCTAGTATGAAATAATACTGTGTGGTTATGCTAAAGGAAGAATTACCTGGGTGTATATGTTAAAAGTATAAACACAAGAGATATGGAATAAAAGGAAAGAAAGAAGTAATTAATAGTCTGAAAAGAAAATGCCCAGGTGATTCTGCAACCAAGGACCTGACAATCCACTTTTAATGCTTCTATTTAAGCTCAGGTTGGTTTATTTTCAGAACAACTATATCAGCAACATAAAGTCTTCCACATTCCTGGTTAAAGTTTAAATTGGCACTCGCACTTTTAAATTACATGAGCATCATCAGGTCTGGCTAAAGTACAGGCCCCACAGGGCCCAGCATTGCCACCCCTGACTACCCCCTCTGGGGAATTCCTTTCTTTGTGCCCCAGGAGACATGTACACAAATGTTTGCAGCAAAAACTGGAATGACCGCATATATATCAATAGGAAAATAGCAAAATTTCACTATAACCATCTATAATAATAAAAGCATAATACGGCCGAAACCGGTTTGGCTCAGTGGATAGAGCGTCGGCCTACGGACTCAGGGGTCCCGGGTTCGATTCCGGTCAAGGGCATGTACCTGGGTTGCGGGCACATCCCCAGTGGGAGATGTGCAGGAGGCAGCTGATCGATGTTTCTCTCGCATCGATGTTTCTAACTCTCTATCTCTCTCCCTTCCTCTCTGTAAAAAAAATCAATAAAATATATTTTTTAAAAAAAAGCATAATACGCTAATTAGTCCAGACGTCCTTCTGGATGAACTTCCAGACAAAGCCTGGGCTGTGATCATCGAGGCAGAGGCAGCCACCTCAGCGGTGGGGGCCAAACCCCTGCACGAATTTCGTGCATCAGTCCTCTAGTAAAATATAAGACTTCAGCACTAAAAGTGTAAGGACAGCCTCACAGATGAGAGCTGACCCTTATGTAATGCTGAGCCTCAGAAGACTCCATGCAGTACAAGTTCACTTTATAGGAAATTTAAAGCTGGTAAAACTGAAAAACATTCCTTTTGGAGATTATATATATATAAATTATAAAATCTTTAGGGAGTCTCAAGGGTGTAAAAAACACAAGACTGAGAACAGAGATTACATCTGGGGGACAGGGCTGTGAGTGTCAATGCCAGCAGGAGTCCCACAGTGAGGTGGACTGAGGACACTGTATTCACTGCAGACAGCTGGATGGTAATACAGCTCGTCAGCGCGACCAGCACGGCTGTGGGACAGCTGGGTGTGATACAGCAGGGCTGTACCCTCTCTGCCCACAGCGTCTCACCCAATTGCTGTCAGGACGCCAAGGTGGGTGTGTAGACCGAGTGTAAGATCCACAGTTTTCTGATTAAAAATCGATTTCCTGACACACAGGTTTTTGAAGATGCTGAGTACGAAAACTGACATTTTAGCCAATATTTTTACATTCTTAATGAACTAAATTTGAAAATTCTGAGAAATAGCAAAGAATTATTTTAAAGGCATGATTGTTATGGAGCCCAGTCTTTAAACTGTGTGATCTAGCTACCATGTGTTCTCAATGTTGTTACCTCTTACTGTAGGGAACATTATTACTAAAGGCAAGTCTAAGAAAAACTTACAAATATTGTTGTATCTCCTTGCTCTTTCTCAAACTTTTAATCATTACTTTCCAAAAGTGAAATTTAAAGCATTGAATAAAATAATCAGATAAAGGAAACATTGACTAACAGAATCCTGAGACAACATGTAGTGTGAACTTTGGTTTTCACATGTGTGTGAATTCTGTGACACTCCCCCTTCCGGAGGTGGAGCGATTTTCTCCTCTTGAGGGTGGGGGCTGGACTTACTGACTCATTTCAAACTGAGCAGTCAGGCTGATGTAATGTGTGTGACTCTCAGCCTAGGACATTCACCTCACTCACCTTCCATGCAGGTTGCTCTCTCTCATCACTTGCTCTGGGACAAGAAGCTCTAGTCATTCACTGCCTTATGGCCGAGTCCCCATGGCTAGGAACTGAGGGCTCCTGGGACCATCCAGGAAGGAAATCAGGCCTCTGCCAACAGCCCTAGGAATGAGCCATGTGTCAGCGGGTCCTCCAGCCCAGCCGCCTTCAGACCATGCAGCCCTGGCTGACAAGTGACGGCAACCTTGAGAGATGCCTGAGCCAGAAGCACTCAAGGCAACCCCTCCTGGGTTCCTGACCCTGGGAAACTGGAAGAGAACACACATTTGTTGTTTTTAGCTGCTGAGTTTAGAGTAATTTAAACTGAAAACAATACAGTGTCCAAAGAGAGAATGAGTAATTGCACTTAATTTCCATTTGTTCTAAATTAATTATATATGATGCTAGGGGCTCAGTGCACGAATTTGTGCACCTTGAAAGGAATTGTGGGCCACGAGGCTGCAATGGGCACAATCCAAGGTCTTGGCCCATCTTCTGTGCCCCCGCCTGGCCCCTCCATCCATGACCCAGTCCTCAGTCTGCCCACAGCCCTGCTCACACATACTGATGGAACCGGCCCTGCTCACACCCACTGACTGGCCCAGAGCAATTGGGGCCAGCAACAGCAGTTGGTATGATTGGGGCCGGCACTGTCAGCACCTGTGAGGTACCCTGATCGCCCCTCAGGAGCAGGGGGAGATGGAGAAACTCTCCGGGGCAATAGAGGCCGGCAGCAGCCACTTGCACCCACGGACAGAGTTGAGCAATCAGGACTGGCACTGGGTGCCAGCAGTGGGTGCAAGCAAGGCTGGTGCCAGCAGGAGGTGTGAGCACTGGGCGTTATCATGGGGCATGGAAGCAAAGAATATTCAGTAACCACCAGAGGCTTGCCCCAATGACAGTGACCGGCGCCCTGCCTTTGTCTGGCTCCCCCAATCACATGCTCCAACATCCCACAGCGGCCAACACCCAGCATGTTCCATGCACGCTCCCTTGTGGTCAGCACACTTCATCTCAACCAGTTGTTCAGTTGTTTGATTGTTCAGGTTGTTCCGCTGTTCTGTCTCTTTGCATATCAGCCTTTTATTATATAGGATGATTAAAACTCCTTTAGGAAAAGCTATACAAACTACTAACCTATAATTCAGAGTACAGGCTCTGGAGCCAGACTATCTACATTTGAAAGCCATTCCAACATCTATTATTAGCTCTGCGACTTTAAGCACATTACTCAATCTCTCTGTGCCTCAGTTTCCTTGCTGTAAAATGGGAATAATAACCGTAAAACACATGTTTCTGAAAAAAATAATAATGTGTCCCGATAAAATGTGCTCACTGCTTCCATGTGAGTAATTCATAAGGATGGCAGGGCAGGAGCGCTGGTGAAGGGCACTGTGACCCACTGAGCACTTGCGACTGTGAAGATGCACAGGCTCCTGCTGAAATGCACAGTCACACATGCTCCCTGGGCTCCTTTGTAGGGAGAGTGTGGGGGACTCACAGGGACAAGCTCAGGGCTGGGGAATGCAGGTCAGTGCACAATGTAACAGCCCCCAGTCACACACTTCCTGTGTGGGAAGGAGAGTTGAGGAGCTTTGTAACTCTGGCTTGCAGGGCTGTTTAGTCACTTTGCCTATGAAGCCTCTGAAATCACTCATTTTACAGATTAGCTTCCTGATGTCCAGGCTTCCCAAGACTGTGGTCCCCCTGCCCTTCACTGGTCTTTTCAGGCCCAACTCCTCCAGGATTACAGAGGAGACCCTGTCCTCCGCCTCCTCTCACAGGAAGCTCGCTCTCTGGCATCAAGGTCCCAGGGTGAGTTTTCTTCTAGAAGAGTCCAGGGCAGAGGTGAGGGTGGGAGGCAGAGAGCATTCCAGGGAGAGGGGTTCCAGGAGGAGAAGGGGAGGAAAGGGCTGGTCCCAGCCTGGGGAGTCTCCCTGGTTCTCACACAGCCACTGGGCAGGACTGAGGGAGACGGTGTGACAGAGCTCTCCGTGCAGGGGAGGGGTCAGGGCAAGGTCCCAGGTCCCAGATCTGGTCTCAGGGGCCCGACTGAAGCGGGAAACTCAGTGTTGGGGAGTCCCCACCTCCCTGCAGTTTCACTTCTCCCTCAAGGCAAGTGGGGCACTCCTTCCTGGATACTCGTGACGGACGCAAGTTCTCACTCCCATTGGGTAGAAAGTGCTACAGAAGCCAATCAGGGTTACCTTTGTTCCCAGTTGTAAGTCTCTGCGGACTCGGCAGGACTCAGACTCCCCCGACCCCGAGGATGCTGCTCACGGGGCCCCCGACCCTCCTCCTGCTGCTCTGGGGGGCCCTGGCCCTGACCCAGACCTGGGCGGGTGAGTGCG